CGGCCGGCCAGACACGGGCCAGCAGTGTGCCCGGGTGGGCAAGGAGGCCAACGGCACCCTGGCTTGGGTCAGGAATGGTGTGGCCAGCGGGAGCAGGGAGGGGATCGGGCCCCTGTGCTGGGCACTGGTCAGGCCACACCTCGAGTGCTGTGCTCGGCTTTGGGCCCCTCGCTCCAAGAAGGACACTGAGGGGCTGCAGCGTGTCCAGAGAAGGGCAGCGAGGCTGGGGAGAACCTACCTGGAAGGAGGGTGTAGTGAGGGGGTTTGGTCTCTTCTCCCAAGTAACCAGCGATAGGACGAGACCCAATGGCCTCAGGTTGCCTCAGGGGAGGTTTAGACTGGACATTGGGAACAATTTCTTTCCTGAAAGAGTGGTCAGGCACTGGACCAGGCTGCCCAGGGCAGTGGTGGAGTCCCCATCCCTGGAGGGGTTCAAAAAATGTGTAGGTGTGGCACTTCAGGACATGCTTTAGCAGGCGTGGTGGTGTTGGGCTGACGGTTGCACCTGATGATCTCAGAGCTCTGTTCCAACCTTAATAATTCTCTGAAGCAGTGCAGGGGTCCCGTTTCTTTTGTTCCGCTCTCAGGCGAGAGCAGAGCGGGGGTTCAGCGGGGGGGCCCAAATGGAGCTGAGGGACTGCCGAGGGGTCGGTTCCAGGGCTCCGGGGCTCCGTGGTGCTGCGAGCACGTGCCAGACTGCAGACATGGGCTCCGCAGGCCGCGCACGGAGAATCTCTGTGCTCCACAGCGGCTGCAAGCGAAGCGAGGTGTTGCTGTGCTGTACGCACACAGCTCCCAAACACATCCCTCCTCAGCTATTGCCAGGCCACGTGCCACTTGGACAGCGTTGAGAAGCGCCGGTTCTGCTCACTTCGCTTGTCAGAGAAGTGCTTTGCTGATGGGGCAGGTGACAAAAATGCCTTCTTTCCTGACAGCGTCACTTTGAGATTTACAGCTTGGCTGGGAGTTGTGCTGAGCTCAAACTGTGTTCACATTTCCGGTGAACGTGCTGGCATAAAAGCTTGGTGAAATGACACTGGGGCGAA